AGACAGAGAATCACAGGTCACGGGCCGGGTTCAGCAATGGAAGGTCAGATCGAAGGAAAACACAGAGAATGGTCTAGTCACAAGCCGAGTCAGATACCAGAAGAGTCACGAGAGTATACACAGAGCTGTAGCAAGACAAAGACACAAGACACAAGTGCAAAGAGCATGTGCGGATCACAGGCTTATATGTACTCAGCCACACCCCTCTGGGGGATGGACCTCAGAGACCTGAAGGCATAAAAGATTCCCACCATGCTCAGCAGAAATCCAAGATGGATGCCAGCACATGGAGTAACATAACCTCTGGGAAAAGGTAGGACCTTGACACCTGTAGAGCCCTTCAGCCTTAACGTCAAATAACCTTGCTGACTCACTCCCAGGCGGACTTATACCCAGGCTTCTAGCAATATTCTAACTGTACAAAAAACCCTTACACTAGAGGGCATTTCATTTACATACATACTGTACATACCCAGAAACTATGGGCAACAATAGCAAACTATTAAACATAATAATGCCTAATAAACCCTGTGGGTAGGCTGGATTAGTAGCAGCTCCTCCAAAGTAGGATATGTGGTCCCAGACTATCCCTTCCTACTTCTTCCTTTCCTTTTGGGATTTCTAACCCAGGCACTCAGAGACAAGAAGTGATTGTACATAATAACTAACTAATATAATGTGATTTTAGGCAGTACGGGTATTTATAAATACAGACAGCAAATGGCAGTAGATCCCTGCAAGTGTATGATTGTCTTGATTTTTAATATAATCACAGTCAACTGAGTCTGAACAGCACAAAGCAGTTTATACCTAACCTTTCTGAACCACTATTTCTTTTAGCAAATGACAGCATTGAAGTCAGGGCCTGGACAGATATTTAAAGCACGGGCAAGAGTGACATTATTTTGCCATTGTGGTAAATAAATCTCTTGGACAAAAAGGAGATCATTGAAGGCTCACTGTCTATCTGGAAAGTTCTTCTTTAGCACACACAACAAAATGACTAAGAAAGTCAGAACTGAAAAGAGGATATCGCTTTACTATCATCAGCAAATAGAGCTGACTAATTGTCTGAGTCATTTTCTCCATTAAACAGACTGTTTCCAAATCTAGCAGATAATTACCAGCCACAAGTCAGTTTTTAGAACATCGCATAGACACTCAGAATGTAAAAGTAACCAGTATATTAACAGATGTTTATTGCCTATTTTAGGGTTTCTCCAATGACATGGGCCAGTGAGGTCAGATGTGGAATGTAGATAATGAGATTATATCAGCTCAGAACAGAAGTGTTTACAGCACCTGCTGCAACTCCCAATTAAGATTCCAATTAGGAAAAAAATAACCCCAAACCTGCACAATATTGCCTTATGTGCACTTGGTATTTCATAATATAATCTTGAGAAGTTCATACGCTGAATGTTCTGTGCTTTTTTTGCAATCAATTGCATGTAGGAGTATTTACTGTTGAGGTCTGCTCACACTGTTTGAAATGTCTAGCGGACCTCACAATTTCCAGTTACAAAGAGTTTTTTGGAAAAAAAACATGAAAAAACCAAGTTTGAAAATACATGTCCTTTACTTCCAAGTACACAAAAGTATGCCTCTGAACTTTTCACAAGGGATGGGTATACAAGTAATGTAAAATAAGATGACTGTAATTAAACAACAGGTCACTATGCGGAACGGACTGTCAAGCAGCAATAAATTCCATTAACCAATTTGGTGTGGATGTAATCAAACTCACAAGATATACGTGGGGTGACTGAAAAGTTCTCGGCCTACCCATGAAGCATTTGTCTTAGCCCAGTTTTATTTTTGCTGTTCATAGTACATATCTTTGCAAGGTTCCATAACAAATTTCTCACAAATAGCTTTTTCTTTGTTTCAGTTATTGAAGATTGAAGCGCAGAAGGTCATCATTGTCTGAAAGATGGAGAACGTGAGCAAACATGCTGTTATCCAATACCTGCTGTCTGTCACATTTGTTTTCAACAGCCAACATTCTCTGGACCCACCGACTTGACACCTTGTGCATGTCCTGCAATACTGTTAAAATGTGTCCAACACGTTCCTGGGATATGTCCACTTTCTCTGTGATGAAACGTTCTGTCACACGTCTGTCTGCCATTACGAGATCCTGGATTGCTGTGATGTTTTTTTTCCTCCTTACAGGCAGTTGCTGGTCTTCCACTGTGAGGGGCATCTTGGACAGAGGGGTTCCCCCTCTTGAATTCCGCCACCCACTTTTTAATAGTGGAATAGGAAGGGGCATCCTCACCTAATGTTTCCATCATGTCCTTGTGGATGTCCTGTCCACTCATTCCCTTTTTCAGCAGGTATTGGATAACAGCACGTTTGCTCACTTTCTCCATCTTTCAGACAATGACCTTCTGCGCTTCAGTCTTCAATAACTGAAACAAAGAAAAAGCTATTTGTGAGAAATTTGGTAGAGCCTTGCAAAGATATGTACTATGAGTAGCAAAAATAAAATTGGGCTAAGACAAATGCTTCATAGGTAGGCTGAGAACTTTTCAGTCACCCCACGTATAGCAAAAGCAAAGTTTCAAATCAACTAAGGGTTAGGAAGGTTGACACCACTATGTCCGGTATGAGAATGAATATCATTTTATAGCAATGAAGTACTCATATTTGATGCATCGACTTCAGAATCAGGTTTCTAATCTTTACGGGACTGAGATTCAGCTCTGCAGTAGTTGTTTTCTTATTCCAGGTCACAAACCTGCACAATGTCCTTTTGTCTCTTTTGGTCAGTTGACCATGTTGACTTATCAGACGACGTTTTCCCAGAAACTGTATATACCATCATAACCTTCGATACTGGCAACTTTTGTTACAAAGGCACCAGGTAAGCGGGCACCAACAATTCGCCATCTTTGAAGCTCAGTAAGATCTGACACAACTCTGTATTATTAGAAGAACATGCAGTGAAAGTGACACTTCACACCTGTAGGCTAGGTGTCTCATCAGACAGGGGAAGCAAAGAAAATGCTACATCACTTCCACTATCAACACAAAGCATGTTGTCACTTTCACACCTGTAAATCATGTAGTGTTTCCATTTTTTTGTCTAACCCCTGTATATATCCAGTTCAACCATTATTAAACAAGGGCATGAAGTGGATGGACTGCTAGGGAATCAATTATCTATCTGTGTGGATGTTATATTGTGAAGGTTATCTCTCACAGCAGATGAAGGTGGTTCAGAGAAGGAATGCTGCCAAAGGACATTGTTGGAGGGCACATTACACTAAAAATATAAAGATTGAAATAAGTGGTCAGCATCATTCAGTATTACATTCTTATTATATATATAAGGAGAAATATGGAGCAGGTTAAGCCAAGGTCCAATTTTATTCTGTTTGTTTCAGGTTTTCTGTGGATGGCTCCCACTACACAGTAATGTTTAGGATATTAAGACCTCGTGGGGTACTCTTCTTTTGAAAATTTGAATTAACAAGTGTTTTTTATTGTTTGCTATATAAAGAAAAAAATAAAAATGTGGAAAAAAAAGTTTTCCTTAGGTGCTTTTATAAAACTTTGCAAATGAATAATATTTTGTCATACATTTTGCTACATTTCGTTGGTGAAGAGAATTGGTGTATATTTTTTAAACCATGTGAAAGTTCTAGGGTCAGCAAACTATGGTATATTGTGTATATTTGAAAATTGATTAGTCCTCATACACTGACTGTCTATCTCATTTCTTGAGGCTCCAAAATGTCAAGATAAAACAAATATCCCAAAATGACCCCTTTTAGGAAAGTAGACAGTCCAAGGTATTTAGAAAGAGCCATGGTGAGTTTTTTTTAAGTCATAGTTTTTTGTCATAATTTTTGGGAAAATGAAACAAAATAATTTTTTTTTTTTCACAAAGTTGTCATTTTAACAAGCTATTTCTCACACACAACAAGAAATAAACCCAATTAAACCCATAATACATTCTGCTACTTCTCCCAAGTACGGCATCACCACATGTGGGAGACTTTACAATGTTTTAGGCGATCTCTGAAAACCCATCTCTTCAGGGAAGCCTATCCTGCCCTCAGCTAATAATGGAATCTTCTACTCTTCCAACCAACCCATCCCCCACAGTTACTACCTTTTGTACCACTAGCCCCTCCCTCCTAGATTGTAAGCTCCAAGGAGCAGGGCCCTCCTATCCCTCTTGTATTAAACTGTATTGTTGCTGTATTGTCTCCCGTTATATTGTAAAGTGCTGAGCAAACTATTGGCGCTATATAAATCCTGTATAATAATAATACTGTGGGCACATCAACATACAAGCCTGCAGTCTTGTATGAGGACCGTGGTTTCTCCAGGTAGTTCCAGAATTGAGCTGTCATCTAAACAGTTGCAGTATGGCTGGGACTGGTGAGAGGACACTGCTGCCATTAATCTGTTGCTGCTAGCAGAGACTGAGCACACAGGAAATTGCCATCTAGAACATTTTGTACAAATTTCAAATCAGAATAAAATGAACTGCACATATCTAGTCCTTTGGATTAAAAAAAGTAGCAATTTTTCCAAAAGGTTGCTATATATATTTGTTTTTGGTTTCGATATTATATACCGTATTTTTCGCTCCATAAGACGCACTTTTTTGCCCCCAATAAAGTGGGGAAAATGTCAGTGCGTCTTATGAATATGGAGCGGCCTGTCCGGTATTTCCATCGCCGCCACCGTGTCAGAATACAGGGCCGGCCGCTCAGCTCTTCCCTGATGCAGGACCTTACCTGTTCCTTGGTCCAGCGCTGTACAGTCTTCCCGTGCCGGCATCTTTAGTGTGGGAACCCAACTGTGACAGATGACAGGTCCCAGAAGATGCCAAGCCATTCACAAGGCGCAGCGCTTCTCACGCATGCGCAGTGGGCCCCCGGCTGTCAGTCGCGTGCCCACACTAAAGGGAGGACAACTCCCGCGGAAGTGGGAGCGGGTACCTGTCAAATTCAGGTACCCGCTCCCCTCCCTCCCCAAAGGTTTGCAGTCTCATGGTCATCCCCTGTACTGTCTGCAGTCTCTGATCATCCCCTGTACTGTCTGCAGTTTCTTGGTCATCCCCTGCACTGCTTGCAGTCTCTTGGTCATCCCCTGTACTGTCTGCAGTCTCGGGTCATATCCTGTACTATGTCCGCAGTCTCTAGTCATCCCCTGTACTGTCCGCAGTCTCTGGTCATCCCCTGTACTGTCTGCAGTCTTTGGTCATCCCCTGTACTGTGCGCAGTCTCTGGTCATCCCCTGTACTGTCTGCAGTCTCTGGCCATCTCCTGTACTATGTCCGCAGTCTCTAGTCATCCCCTGTACTGTCCGCAGTCTCTGGTCATCCCCTGTACTGTCTGCAGTCTTTGGTCATCCCCTGTACTGTGCGCAGTCTCTGGTCATACCCTGTACTGTCTGCAGTCTCACGTCATCTCGTGTACTATGTCCGCAGTCTATAGTCATCCCCTGTACTGTCCGCAGTCTCTGGTCATCCCCTGTACTGTCTGCAGTCTCTGGCCATCTCCTGTACTATGTCCGCAGTCTATAGTCATCCCCTGTACTGTCCGCAGTCTCTGGTCATCCCCTGTACTGTCTGCAGTTTTTGGTCATCCCCTGTACTGTCCACAGTCTCTGGTCATCCCCTGTACTGTCTGCAGTCTCTGGTCATCCCCTGTACTGTGTCCGCAGTCTCTGGTTATCTCCTGTACTATGTCTGCAGTCTCTGGTCATCTCCTGTACTATGTCCGCAGTCTCTGGTCATCTCCTGTACTGTGTCCGCAGTCTCTGGTCATCTCCTGTACTATGTCTGCAGTCTCTGGTCATCTCCTGTACTGTGTCCGCAGTCTCTGGTCATCTCCTGCACTGTGTCTGCAGTTTCTGGTCATCTCATGTACTATGTCCGTAGTCTCTGGTCATCTCCTGTAGTAGGTCTGCAGTCTCTGATCATCTCCTGTACTATGTCCGCAGTCTCTGATCATCTCCTGTACTATGTCCGCAGTCTCTGATCATCTCCTGTACTGTGTCCGCAGTCTCTGGTCATCTCCTGTACTATGCCTGCAGTCTCTGATCATCTCCTGTACTATGTCTGCAGTCTCTGGTCATCTCCTGTAGTAGGTCTGCAGTCTCTGGTCATCTCCTGTACTGTGTCTGCAGCCTCTGGTCATTTTCTGTACTATGTCTGCAGTCCATTGGTTCAGAATAGGCGTGTCTTATGGTCAGGTGCGTCTTATGGAGCGAAAAATACGATATATATTTCGAACTATTGGATATTTTCAAATGCAACAGAATAAATAATGCAAAATTTAGCGGCAAACCTAAGAATTAGATTAGACTGTGGAACTGAACTTACTAATTGTCGCAATTACAAATTCAATTTAAATCACAAATTAACTTGAATCTGAATTACCAAACAAATTCAAAAATGTTATTAATTTCCCCATGGTTCCGAACTAGTATCGCATTATGTGCTGTCATCCTAATGAAACAAGTATATTCGTTAATTTTGTTATAACTTTTTTTTGATTGACAATTGTTACTATGTCTATTTAAATTTTTGTCTGAAAAATTGATTTGTTACCAAATGAAACACATATGTCTACTGCTTTCTAAAGTCATTACTTATTGCTGATTTTGTGGATTACCAGGTTTACTCTAATTGAACAGCATTTATTGATGATTAAAAAGGCACTCACAAAAGAAGAACTTGTGCAAAGCGGAAAGAGTCAAAGCTGCTGCCTCTGGAGCCCAGAGCCTCTGTGGAGTTCCCCTGCCTTGGCTGTCAGCAGGGGTAGAAGAGCACTGACAGGAGGGGAGCTGCCGCTGCAGGGAGACCACCTGACCAGTGATGAAAGCTAGAGCCTGGAGAGATCACCTGACACCGCTGGGAGTGTGGTGGGAGATAGGGACTTTGTGAACTGCAACATTTTTAAACACGTCCCACATCTCCCAGTGTGCTCTGGGCTCCAGAGGCTGCAGCTTTGCACAAGCTCTTTTTTTGTGAGTACATTTTTAGGCTTCATCTGTTTTAATAACACTGGTAATGTTAGCTGTGTGAATTCACACTAAAAAAAAAAAAAAACGTGAGTTTTTCAGTGTTTTTGTATTAGTGTTTAGCGGCGTTTTGCAGCGTTTTTTCGAGTTTGTTTTTTTTACCCCAAAAAAATTTTTTGGGTCAAAAAAAGTCCAAAAATGCTGGTTTGCGGCAATTTACTACGGGTTACCATGATTTACCGCATTTTGTTGCGTTTTTCAGCGTTAGAGAATTTTTTACAGCTAAAAAACTCCTCTAGAAACCCACTAGTCCTGTGTTTTTTTTCCAGCCAAAAAACATCCATGCCAAAAATCGGATTATTGCAAGGAGGAATGTAGCGCTACTCACATGAACTACTAAATAGAAGTGCATAAATAATAACAATATTAAATAGTGTATCAAAATAAGTGAACAAATATTGAAACAAATATTGAACTAATATAATGCCAAATCAAGTGGAATCATGCAAAATAAATCATATCAAGTGACACTACTATATGTGGACAAGCCTAAGAGCTCAGCAGTGATAGTGAGAAATATTAATTCATGCTTCCAACTGTAAAGAATACAATATATATGCTCACATTCCAAAAAATTATTGACTCATAAATTACCGTATTTGCCGGCATATAAGACGACTGGGCGTATAAGACGACCCCCAACATTTCCACTCAAAATATAGAGTTTGTTATATACTTGCCGTATAAGACTACCCCCTCTTCCGCACACCTTCCACACACCAAATAAAACGTAAAAGAACATCAGATTTGATTTCAACATCTTAATTTATATTCGCAGTATACCCCTGTGTGCATTTATTGTTACCGGTTTCACATGAGTGCCATTAGTATTAGTGCCACTACAGTACCTGTCATTGTCACCATTGTACGCGACCGCAGCGCCTCCGGCCAGTCCCTGCATCTCCCTGTAATTGGCACTAGTGCGCATGTGCGAGCTCTGCATAGACAAGGAGCGGGCCGGAGCGCCGCTGCTTCCCGCCGAGCAGAAAAGGCTGGCACCCCTGCATCGCACGCTGATGACCCGCTGCGGCCGCACTGGATGGTATGTAGAATGAGGTGGGCGGGCGGGCATTGGGAGGCCACTATGGCAGCTATATCTATCCCAACTGAAGTGCACCCGGCGTATAAGACGACCCCCCCACTTGGAGGCATGTTTTTCAGGGCAAAAAAGTCGTCTTATACGCCGGCAAATACGGTAATTATATAAATATCCAAAAAGTGAGCAAATGTGTACATCAACACACACATGTAACTACAAATACCCCATTAAGTGAACAAACAATGAATACAATCAAATGTGTATAATAGTGAACATCAAAAGTGCAACCGCACACAACACAAAAAAAAATATATCTATTTCTGTGCTCGTAAAGTCCAAAAACACATAGATGACCACACTCGGATGAAACACTCGTGCTGATATTTGTGTGAACAAGTGGGTAGATGGTTGACAGACGATAATTCGACCACCGGCTAGATCAGCCTCTCACCTCAAAACTTCAACCCTTGCAGGTCAAAGCGCTCAATCGGATCCCTCTCGAAGATCCTCCACGTCTGCTGTCACTCCAACAGATCAGCTCCCACCGCACACAAATCTCCCTTTAGGGGTCAGCACACCAATATTGGCTCCTCTCCAGGCAAGGTCAAATGCTGCACTAGCATCTCATTCTAAAATACCAATACCAGCAGAGACAGTTAAGACAGGTTCTTTGTGCCAACCATTTTTCAGGAATGTTCCAATTTTAAAAAGTCCTGCCATCTTGCTTTTGACCTGGTCCAGGAAGTGAAATGCCGGCATCCAGCTTCCGTGTTCTGGTCCCTGCGAGCGTCGGGACGTACGGGGTCCGGAAGCGGCGGCAAATTTCAAAATTTTAGAAACTGTCATTTTCTAATAAACGAATATGACATAGTAAAACATTACTGTTTCAAACCATTTCACATACATTTTGTCCCGAGTGCTTTGTCCTGTGCCCTGCCTGCATTTTGACTGTTCTTTCTTCCTAGAAACTTAGAAAAGTCCATGGCGTCCAAAAAGCGTCGCTTTAGGTCAAAAGCGGTTTTAGACCACCTAGAGAACAGCGATAGTAAATTAGAACCACTTGCAGAATTGAGTGATAATGATTCGTGGGGAAATTCGTCATCAGACACTGAAAACGATTCTGCGACTGAGCTCAGTGATGTGCGAACTTGGCGCTATATTTAAAATTTCAGTGTTTTTGCTTTGATTATATTATTGAATTAAATTTATTATTATATTATTGTTTTTTATGATTATTTATTAAATTATAATTTATGATTTTGTGTTTCAAGTTTTATCCTACCTGGGATGTTTACTAGACTCTTGCTCGAACAGATTTCAGTGAGTTATTCCTAAAAATTACAGGCCAACAAAAAAAAAAATACATATTTCCATGCAAAAAAAATGTACCGCTTTCAGCACAGAAATATGGACATAATCAGACCGCTAGGGAGGTTAATAGTGAACTGTCCCTTGAAATCTTAACTATCATCACGAGATCTTGTGTGGTATATATCCTATAGATCAGTGGTTAAAATTTCACGTCCAGACCTACTAGCTGGTCACAAAACGTACTCTCCACCAGTTGCCCCACCCAACCATGCCCAGTTAGGCCCACAACCCCACCCCCCCTGGTCCGCCCCCAACCACGCCCCCTTAAAGCTTATGAAATTACATTTTTCTTCAGAATAAATAGTCCAAAATATAAAACTGTACACAGTAATGTATATCCCAGCTCCCCTGTACTCCATTATAGTGATATGACATGTATACAGTAATGTATATCCCAGCTCCCCTGTACTCCATTATAGTGATATGACATGTATACAGTAATGTATATCCCAGCTCCCCTGTACTCCATTATAGTGATATGACATGTATACAGTATGTATATCCCCCCTCCCCTGTACTCCATTATAGTGATATGACATGTATACAGTAATGTATATATCCCAGCTCCCCTGTACTCCATTATAGTGATATGACATGTATACAGTATGTATATCCCAGCTCCCCTGTACTCCATTATAGTGATATGACATGTATACAGTAATATATATCCCAGCTCCCCTGTACTCCATTATAGTGATATGACATGTATACAGTAATGTATATCCCCCTCCCCTGTACTCCATTGTAGTGATATGACATGTATACAGTAATGTATATCCCAGCTCCCCTGTACTCCGTTATAGTGATATGACTTGTATACAGTATGTATATCCCAGCTCCCCTGTACTCCATTATAGTGATATGACATGTATACAGTAATCATTACTGTATACATGTCATCACTATAATGGAGTACAGGGGAGCTGGGATATACTGAGTAATGTATATACCAGCTCCCCTGTACTCCATTATAGTTATAGAACATGTTGTATACAGTACTTACTGTTCCCCCGAGTCCCCCGCGGTGGTGGAGAGGGTGTCTCCTCTCAGCGGAGGAGAGGGGACCTCTCCTGCACCTGTCCCCTCGGCGGCAGTGCCGCAGAAGCCAAAAACTGGAAGTTGTAAACCGGAACTCGGCTTCACAATGAGGCTTGGAGCGCAGGTGCAGTCACTCCATGCTTCATCTGTGCTCACCACTCGCAGCCGCTCGCCGCTCGCCACAGAGGAATTTCTCCTCACATTTGGCAAGCGGGTGAGCGGCTTTTTCAAGCCCTGCTTTAGATCGTGATCCAAATACACCAGCAACAAGTGTCATACGATTATGGTCTCATAAAATGGTGAACCGTGGTACTACCACTGTACTTCAAGTAGATCAGTGTAACACACTACTGTATACACTTGTACGGTGCTCCTGTGTCACCCCTTAGTGCTTATTCACCTCCAACACTCTATTGCGCTCACCTCCAAGGTTGCCCCGTAATAACAGGTCAAACTGCGCTTTTCCCTTTAACCTGGGAGGGTATACTGGTACACAGATCTTCACCACCATTAGCCAGCACTTTTTACACAGCTCCAGATCACTCCACATCCATGTGAAAATAATGCTCAATAAAGTGAAGTATTGCCACTAAAAACAGCCTTTATTAAAATAATATAGTTCAACTCACATTAAAATGTGTCCTCCTGGGACACTACAGGGTTAAAAACTCACTATACAGTGTTTGCTGTAAGAAGTGTGCAGAAATCCCTTTTCTAAAATGGTGGCACGTGCACTTCGGTTTGCGGCCTAACGTCATCGGCGTACCCTACGTGTTACGTCACGTGAATTCATCAGCGATGGTTGATAAGCCAGATCCCGCACTAGGGGCTTACATTATTAAATGGCAGCAAAGATGGTTGAAAAAGATTTAAATAGTGCTGCGCTGCCAATTCTCCTCCTAATTAACGGTAATAGAAAACCGTATGCGAACGCAACGGTGTCCCGGAACACATTGCCTGCTAAAGCTCCAATACTACATGTAATTTATAATTGCAATATTATTTATCCTTTTGTATAATAAATGGTATAAGGATATTCCCTTCTAATTATTTCTACTGCATGACCTGGGTGGAGGAGAATAGAGAGAGGACATGCATTACTGTAAGGGATCCATTGAAATGGAGGGATTTTCCTAATGACGATGGAAGGCAGAGTAGAAGGAAGATCTCACTCAAAAAAACATTTGACCTGCCTAAAACAGGAGATCAGTGTATTCACTCATAAACAAGGATTGGGCACTGATTTATTAGTTCAATTTCATAGTCACATATGGTTGATTTAATATTTATACATGTGATATTATCGTTTGATTTCACTTGATGTATATAGGCTGAGATTCACTCATTTGCACATTACCTATCACATATGGGAGTGGAAGGTATATTGTAGTACACCTATTATTTATTTACTCAGTTATCTTTCTGACACGTACGGTTGTCTATTACCTTTAATTAAGAGGAGGATTACTTAATTCTTAATCTATCACACTATTTGTGTTAGGTGTTAGTAGCAGTCTACATATCCATTGCAGGATTTCTCTATCTATCTAAAAAGATGGTTGAAATCCTATGACTCAAGCACTGACTCGCACTCTGTGCCCTAATAGACCTTTTTCAGGTGGCATACATATTATTTCACATCTTAGTTCTAGGAACCTTGTTCATGTGATTCCTTGTTGGGTTTTTTAGGGGCTGTGCCACACAACCTGTCCAAATACACAAACAAGGGTTTCCTGATGCGAGATCTAGACTGGGGACCTGTCAACACCCCCCTGACTGGCCTGCTTACCTTCATCCAACCTCGACCAGCAACATGGACTGAGTCTGCACCCTTATTTCTTGTTTTCCAGGTATATACCATGCACATCACTAAATAAAGGAGAGTCAGTCTTCCTCTACTAGAACTTGATTTTACTTCTGCAATGTGCATAATAAGAGTTCATTTCAACGGGGTTAGCAACAGTTAAAGTGGTTGTAAAGGCTGAAGGCTTTCTAACTTCATACATTCTATCCTTGAAGGCAAAAAATTGTTCTGTGTACTGCTCCCACCACAGCACCCCTTAATACTCACCTGAGCCCCCTCTTGATCCAGCAATGTGCCATTGGCTTCCACTGATGGCAATCACAGCCAACGAGCCAATGAGGAGAAACTGGGGGGGGTGGAGCCGAGCCAAGCTGAAGCTCTATGTGTCCTTTAGACACATAGAGCAGGGCTCAGGAGTGAGCATGCACCAGTGCCCCCATAGCAAAGGGCTTGCTATTAGGGGCACTAGTCAAGGGGAAAGAGCCAGGAGCACTAGAGGGGGACCCGAGAAAAAGAGGATTGGAGCTACTCTGTGCAAAACCATTACACAGAGCAGGAAAGTATGACATAAAAAAACCCCTTCAGTATCACTTTAAGCATTGTTGGCATAACTCCATTACAGCATGGATCCATTATATGTAGTGTGGTTAGTCCAGTTCAGTGCTAAACCCACTTTTAGGGTGTCCTCCATTTTCCTGACACTCTCCTTTGGCACCATTTCTCCTTCTGTTATATGTCTGCAACTAAGAAGGCGATGAAGACTCCTAGAGGAAAAAACTAGAATAAACTAACATGGGCACCAAAATGGGTCCCACATGCATTTCAGATATGTTATGAGTGTTATTTACCTGCAAAAGCCTCCTTTCTGTAGACAACGAAAAGGTCTAAAACTGCTGCTTGCAAGTGATATCCACAGCCCCAGCAGACTCAGAGCTATCACTTAAGTGACACTCCATATTATTTCCCTTGGCTCTTCTTCCAGCAGCTACATCAGAGTAATGTAGGGAGGTGGAGGGAGGGGTGCCAGAAAAACTATGATGTGCAAGGAATGAAGAGGATGTGCTAGGGAACAGACTCTTCCTGCAGTAGTCACATTTTCTATCAAGCTGAAATCCACATTGCAAAGTGAATAAAAAAAGGTCTAGAAAGAAAAAACACTGCATGTTAGCACTTATAGAAGAACTCTCAAAACTGTTTAATCTCCCAGGGGAACAAGTACATACAGTGAAAGAAATAAGTATTTTAACCCCTGCTGATTTTGAATGTTTGCCCACTCACAAAGAAATGATCAGTCAAAAAATCGAATGGTAGGTGTATTGTAACACTGAGAGACAGAATAGCAACAAAAAATTCAAAAGAAATGCATGTCTAACAAATTATGCACTGATTTGCATGTTCATGAGGGAAATAAGTATTTGATCCCCTATCATTCAGCAGGATTTCTGGCTACCAGGTGTCTTTCAAACAGGTAACAAGCTTAGAAGAGATTAGAAGCAGTCTCTTAAAGGGAGTGCTGCTAATCTAATTTTTTTATTGCATGAATGATCAGCGCTGTCAGGACTTGTTACATAGTTAGTCTGGCTGAAAAAAGACAAAAGTACATCCAGTTCAACCATAGAAAAAAAAAAAAAAGTTATAATCCTATACCCACAGTTGATCTAGAGGAAGGCAAAGAAAACCCCAGCAAAGCATGATCAAATTTGCACCTGCTGGGAAAAAAATTCCTTCCTGATCCCCCGAGAGGCAATCGGATGTTCCCTGGACCAACTTTACCTATAAATGTTAGTATCCAGTTATATTCTGTGTATCTAAGAAAGAATCCAGGCCTTTTTTGAAGCAATCCACTGAGCTGGCCAACA